CTATTTGTCATTTATCCATTTACCCATTTTTTAATAATCTAATTTTCATTTAACCACTTTTCTATTTCCCTTTTTCATTAAGCCAGTTTTTTTTTTTTTTTTCAGATTATCTATTTCTAAATTTCTGTTTTATCTATTTTTCATTTATCTATTTTTCATTTGTCCATTTTTCATTTATCCCTTTATTTATTTACCCATTTTTCATTAATCTATTTTTAATTTAACCATTTTTCAATTTCCTTTTTCCATTAACCCGATTTTCTATTTCCCAGTTTCATTAATCAATTTCTCATATATCCCGTTTTTTACTTGCCCATTTTCTTTGATCTATTTTTCATTTTTCCCATTTTTCATTAATCTCTTTATCTATTTACCCGTTTTTCATTAATCTATCTTTTAATTTAACCACATTTATTTAATTTTGGCTGAAATGGCTCTCCATACTCCTGCTGCCTTAGATGGTCACCTTGTTTGACCTGTGATGAAAGTTTCCTCCCCTCCATAAACTCAGATGAAAGCTCCTCTCTTGGCATCGGCACAAACATCGGTTGCAGGATCTTAGTTCCTGTGCATATCTAGAAGATAAAACAAACATATTTTGCAGGACTTTCATTGATGAGTCATAAGCTTCGTCCCCTTACCTCTGAAAAACAGCTCCGCTTCCTGTTTAATGGGGTGAATTGCAATAACTTGCTCGTTGGTTTAAGGATATTTTTTATTTTACTACTTATGGCTACCCGGATGGTCAGCAGACTAAAATCCTAGTAAAATAGAAACGAAAAAATTCATGTCAAATTATAATCTAGCTTTTAATGTAACATTATTATTTAGCTAACTGCTAAATGCCCTACATACTGCTGTTAGTACAGCAAAAGCTGCCCTAACATTTATGTTGTGATAACAGCATGTGGTTGTCAGAAGATATCTGGCGTCTCCTTTTCCTTTGGATGTCCTACTTTCACTGCAATCAGACACTTTGTTTCAGGCGGGATTATTCACACACATCCACCATTCACTGACCTACTTTAATAATTCTCTTACCTGAAATACCGACCCTTTTACAGATTTCTTCTAAAAGAAGATGCAGAAAATGGATCAATCCCCATTGGCATAAAGGAAGTCATGCCATGAAAACTATCTCATAATAAGAATTTATTCACTTTAGGGTGAAAACAGTTAATCGAATGAATCGATTATGGAAATAATAAACTAATTTAGTAATCATTTAATCGTTAACTGGAGGGCAGAGACTTTTAAATGTGCATTTATCACTTTGAGCAGCAACTTTACCAAAATTTTATATATATATTTATATATATATTAAAAAAATGTGTGAACATTTTGCATTTAAAATAATCTTTTTCATCTGTCAATATGATCTTTCCAGAACTCCTCCATTGTAAAAGCTTTATTTCCACTTGGTTTAATAAAAAAAAAGTCTTCTTTAGGGAACCTTTTGCTATCTGATTTTTAATTAAAAATAAACAGATTAATCAATTAAAATAATCGAAAGTTGCAGCCCTAATACACTTTAACACAAAGCTTTATCATGAGATACAGATCCATAATATTTTGGTCATATGCCACTATTACTAGGGACATTGTACTTAGGGCTGTTAAATAAACAACTTTAGATGTGAACATGCTTTTCTGAAACATCTTGCTAAAAATTAAGGGAATATTATTTCCAGACTAGAAAAATAAATACCTGGACTGATAAAAAAAAAAACTTGGTTTAGCATTGCTAGAAAATAGCATTTTTGTTTCCAATCCTTTTGGGAAGGAAATAAAAGATGCTAAAAATCTCTAAATCAGTTTTGTTTCAGGTTTAGCCGTGAGTTAGCATGTGGCTAACTGATTTAGAAAGGTAAAAAGTAGCCGTTCAAACTCATTTTTTAGTTGTAAAAATTTACTTTAAAACATCTATTGTAAAAATTGTTGATCTTCAAGCAGAAAATGCAAAATACACAGCTTGAAACTCAGTTTCAATTGATAGTTTAAGCTAATTTGTACCTGTGCCATATAGCAATGGCAAGTTTCTTTCCAATCTACACAACAGCAGAAGTTGAAGAAGTAGTTAAAAGCTTCATAAATATTACTTAGCCTAATTATTAAAGCAAAGTTGATTTGCGTGTGTTATATGAATGTTCTGGTCCCATGAAGATCCCACCAACACTAGGTTTAATTAAGCATAAACAACATAGCATGCTAATTAGCATTCAGCTGTACTACCGTGCGGTATTCCTAAAAACAAGGTTTAAGAGTATAAAAAAATTCGTCTAACCTTCATTCATTGTTCTTTTTTTTTTATTCTAATAATTTTCTGCTCATCGAGAGGAATATCTTTTAATGCCATTCTTCTTCTTCTTATGAGATTTTATGGCGGTTGGCAAACTTGTGAAATGTGCATTACCGCCACCAACTGATATGGAGAAAAGCAAGAAAACAGGAAACGATTCACCCCAAAAAAAAAAAAAAAAAAAAAAAAAAAAAAAAAAAAACCTGTGTAACTTAAACCAACATAATACTAAATCACATTTGCCCATATAATTTTAATTTAACTCTAGGTCATCGTAACTTTGCCAGTTTCTGATGATCCCATCGGTCCTCCCATCATGCTTCCAACCATCTCCCAGTTCAAATCTTTAATGTCCAGATATTTATCTGCAGCCTTCACTATTATTTGGATTTTTTCAGTTTTTTTTGTTGTCTGTGCAGTACAATTAATCACTTCCACCATGAAAAGAACAAAATTTGTCTTTTTAACAATTAGTGAGTCTTCATCAATTTTTGGAGATTTCTCTAGAGGTCTGAAATTTGCCGTGTGTTGAACTGTAGGTTTGGGTTTTTCTGACTGAGATGGGAACCTTTTTGCAGCTTCAGCATAGGTTATTCCGAGCTCAAATTTCATTTTTTTTATTTCCTCAGACCTTTTGCTTGCTTCACAACCGCGATAAGCAGCAGTATGTTCTCCACCACAATTACAGCATTTTATTTTAGCTTCTTTTCCACATTTACCATATTCGTGTTCTCCTGCACACCTTCCACAGCTCTGTTTCCCTTTACAAACTGCTGCAATGTGACCGAATTTTTGGCATTTGAAACATCTCAGTGGTGGAGGATTGTAGATTTTAACATTATAGCTGATGTAACCGATGAATACTTTGCTTGGTAATTGCTCTTCAAATTTAATTAATACTGATAAACTGTCAGATCTTTCTCCGTTTCTTGTTGTTTTTAACCGTTTTACTTCTTTTACTTTTGCACCGCTTATGTTTTCCAGAATCTCTTTTTCAGAAATTTTTAGAGGAACTCCTCCAATGACTCCCCTGCTGATCTTTTTGTTCTCCATTAAGCTGCACTGAACTCTTATCCCGTCAATTTTGTTGATTCGTATTGCTTTGCCTTGCTGGGCGCTGTCTCTGCAGTTAATTATCAGGTCTCCACTGTACAGAATTCTGGCACCTCTGACTTCTCCAACAAGTTTATTGATGGTTTTTGTTAAGTGAACCGGATTCCAATTTGTAAAAGAGTCTGCCTGATTAACGACTTTGAATTCATTTCGTTGTGCTGTGGAATGTATGGATTGCTCATCACTGGATTGTTCTGAACTAGATTCCCCTTTAACTGATCTCTGTTTTTTCCGCTTTTTCTCATTTTTTGATGTTGCTATCTTCCAACCTTCATTGTCACTATTTCCCTCTTCCATCCCACAAGAATCGCTTCCTGTTTCCTCACTACTCACGGCCCAGGACATCTCTCCACAAGCAGCTTCAAAACACGCGCCATCTCCAGTGACTATTTCACCGAAAGCAACATTTTGTCCTTCTTAATGCCATTCACGATCCATTTGGTCACTATGGAAAGGAGACTGCTATCAGTTAGTCCCCTCACACCTTTCAGCGGAAATCCCTCGACGTGCCGTTTTTTATTTTAGACGCTAGATGGCGGTAAAGACCAACAACAATCCTTGGCGTGTGTCAAATATGCAGCAGTGAAGTAGTGTACAGGTTGGATTCAAACTTTGTTGAGCCCAATCGGATTCAATGAGTTAAAAATGTATATTTTTTGACAAATCAATAATCAAATAGGCATTAAATTATAGGATATAGATATATATAAAGCAAAGTGCAGAAAATGTTTCAGATTTTTTTTGTTTTTTATTCATGCAGACTTTCACATCATTTTCAATCAAAGAATATGGAGGCAAGAAAGGGCGAAAATACACGTTTTCAAAAAAAAAGCAACAAAAAACTCTTTTGCTTGTTTGTTTGAAGATTACTCCTAAATTAGAGAAACTTAACTTTTTAGACCATAATGTCCAATTTATGTAATGAATGTAAAACGAATGTTTTAAAATTGTAAAGATAGAGCAAGTTATTTTGAATCAAAATGTCCAGAAAAACATTGTTATCACAGTTATTTTAACCTGCAAAAAAAGAAAGAAAAAAAATCATTGTAACCTAACAGTCCTTAATGCAACATGGCATGTATCCAACAAGTTTTCTTCAGTTTCACAACTGAGGTACAATAATGATTCATATTCCTAGAGCCCTTTTTTCCTTCCATAAACTAAACCCAGTGTTTGATAGAAGAATAAATCAGGGTTAATTTCCCCTTTTAAATAAAACTCTAAATGTTAGAAATTGTTCCCTGCATTGGCAAGAGGCCTCTGGTATAATTTTGCTCCTGACAGCAACACAAAAATATCTTTGGTTATAAAAACAGAATAAACATGTAAAATAAGCAAGTCTGACACAGATCTAAAAAAAAAAAATAATGCATTAACTGACCACTAGATGGGGTCATTGTACAGCCCTCTGCAGCACTATCAGCGTGACATCATTCAGTGTCAGCAGAGAAAAAACAAAACGAGATTCACTAAATTCCAAAGTTCTGGTTTATCCAAATGATTGTCTGACACTCGTTTAAAAGCAGTTTGTATTTTTTTTTTAAATACTTAAATAAATTCAGACAAAAAAAGCTAAAAAAAAAACTTGATATTTCTTTCATTTAAAACATTTCAGCGAAACCTTCTGCATGTTTTCCACTCTCTAAAATCTCTTAGTATTTCTTCCATCCTCACTTTCTGTTTTCCCTCTAGAATATCTCACAGAATCCAAGCTCAGTTTTATAATAGAGGTCAAGGTTGGACATTTCAAATGAAGATAAAACTGCATAGCTGCAGACAGAGAATACTGAAAAAACAGGACAATCTGTCAGGACAAAGCAGCCTTCTTTGTTTGCCAGCTATCCGCACACACAGACCTTTCGCTACGTGAGCTTTCATTAATGCACAAAGCAGACAAACTTTATCAGTGACGTTTGGCTAAAGGAAAACCCTGTCGTCCCCAAGGCCACAGTCACTCTGCTTGGTGCCAATCTTATTATTTTTCCTCCTTGCAAACATCTTGCGTTTCTTTTCTACTTCCTCAAACACTCGGTCAACTTCCAGAAACCAACTGCATCTCATCACTCTTTCCCTGCAAACACTGGAACTCCGAAAGTCAATTTACAGAAAAATATCTGTACAAAATATAATTCTTTGCTCATAAGAATAACATCTTCCATTAAAACATTTCAACTTTCTGTACCCACAATATAAAAGCAGTTTTCATTTAGCCTCAAATTAGAGTAGATTTCTCTCTACCAGTATAGAGCGCCGTTCCTCCCAGCTGAAAAAACAAAACAGCATATGTATTATCAATAGAAAGTGACCATATATCATAGACTTAAGATTTAGAAAGTTGAAATAATGAACTTAAAACTCAACTTTTTTCATATTTCCAAATTCTCTAGGTCTAATTTCGATATCAAAACACGACAAACTGAATATCTTATTATAGCTTTTAAAAATTAGATCATAACTGACATTCCATGTATATGGCATTTCATAGGATTATGACATTGAGCATCAAACTTAGAAGTGAAAGTCTAATTTATGATGTTATCACTTATATTTATCAAAAGCCACATGAAAATAATAATAAACTTTATAGGGGCACAACACTGCCTGCATATATTTGCTCAATTTAGCTTCCAATTGGTATTTATGGAGCCCAAGATGTGCCAAAAATCTATATTCTAAAAAAAACTATTTGATGAAATACTTTGCAATCCACATTTTTCCATATCTAAAACTAGAGGTTAAAACTCTGTGTAAAGATGGAGTTTTACAGTAAAACTGTGATATTTAATCTCTTTAAGTCTTCGCACCTCCAACGAAACAATATTCCAAAGTAAAGACAAATCATTTTTGACCTAAACTAACGATCAATTAAAATATTTAAAAATTATGTTTATCTTTTAGATTCTAATGATAAATGATAATAGTTTAGTGATTCCCAAGTTTTGCTGTAGCAAAACAAATTTAGAAAATAAAAATTTTCAAAAAGTGGGTAGACTAATTTTAGAGAGTTTTTTAAACATAATACTTTTAGCTTAATATTAATAAATGCCACAAAAAGAACTATATGTTGCCTTTATGACTCAACATGTGGATCTTCATGATTCATGATATCGTTCTACATTTGGCACGCTCAGGGCTCCATACTTTAGTAGATATCTACTTTTCTTCAGAAGTACATCACCTTTTCCAGCTACAGCGCTTCCAGTTAACATGCCTCATTCCTCAGAGCTTTTGTTTTGCATATATAAATTACCACTGCATCAGCGATATCTGATGTACGCATCATATAGTGACCGCCTCGATAATCTATTCCCTGTCTGTGCCAAAAAAAAAGTCTTTCTCTTAACAATGAAAAAGAAATAAGACTTTGCTTTAAAAGAAAAAAAAAACGGATAAAGCTTTACTCATATAAATTAAGAAAACATATGTACAAACCTTTAAAACAAAGGAATTAAATAAAAATACAACCTCAAGTCTCTCACAAGTTAAAATAAAGTGAAAGAAACAAAAAGGAATTGAGATAAATTATAAGACAGCAGAAGAAAGGAGGAGGGATGGTTGAGAGGAAACAATATGGCACACGAGTGAATCTTTGGCGAGTGCAGACGTCTGAAAGTTTATTGTCTTCCGAGTCCTTCATGTGTAAGCGGTCCTCCGTGTATCCAAACCATCCCTTCATCCAGGCGCTGGTTCCCTCCACTTGCTTTCCATTCCACACCCTCCCTCTACCAACATCTACACCCCGTTTCTCCTCCAAGGAGATTTCAGATAGAAAACGCACATCCTCAGTCTCTGTGAGGAGGAGCAGCAGTTTGGTTTGATGGAGGGGAAATCCTCTACGAAGGCCCTCTGACCTCCATTATGGCCTCCTGCAGTCTCTGCCGGTAGGCTTCATAGCGACGAATTACTGCATCTCTCTGCTCCTGCTCCTCCTTGTCAAGTATCCGGAGAAAGTTTTGCAGCTCAGGGATGGAGAAGGCGTCCCACTGGAGAGGAACACACAGAAGCTAATGAGTATAAAGTAGGCAGATGTGCAGTATTTGTCCAGTATTAGATATAATTAGGACTAAAACAATCGGATTAAACATGATAATTAAAGAAAAAAAATCGTCAACTAAATTAGTCAGCCATTATTTAAATTAAATGGGGTATAGAGACTGTAAAACATGCCTTTAGCTGACAGAGACCAACTTAGAGCAGTAATTATACCAAGAAGATGAAAAATATATAAATAATTTGCATTTAAGATCAAATAAACTTTTCCTTCTATCAATATGCTCTATCCAGGACTTCTCAAGTGGAAAGGTTTAGTTTCACCTGGTTTAATTCTGTAAAAAATCTTTTCTAACAAAGCTAGAAGTTAATTGAGCATCTATGAGGTTTTGTGTGTAATTCTGGAAGAGCTGCAGTAAGAGAAGCTGTTGCCTGAATGGAAGACTAGTAACAAAAAAAACATTACTTTAACTTTATGATCTACATGCTAAACAAGGTGTTATCTTTGTCAATCTCCAAGTGGGATTGAAAAAGATGGTCTGAAGGTGCAGCGCTGTTTTAGAAAGATGGCTCTAACCGTATCTGTTAGGATTCTCAGTCATCCAGGTCATAGTCAAGCATGAAGGGTTCAGTTTAGGCAACTGGAAGTTTTCTAGAAGCGTCTTGGATGAGACATCTTCTATAAAATTTCACATCCAGTTGCCTAAACTGAACCTTTCAAACATGGATCGACCACATATCCAGCATAGGGGGCTTAAACAGATGCAGGCCACACTTTTCAGATTTCCATTTGCTATAAAATAATTTTAAAACAATGCATATTTTTTTCTGAACTTCACAATCATTCACTGCTTTGTATTGGTCTTGTATAAAAAAAACAACAACAATATTCTTGTAATGTGACAATAAGTTTAAAAGTATAAATAATAAGTTTATATCATAAAGTTAATATGTCATGAAGCTAGGCTTTAGGATTTATTTAAATTTGTGTTATTTCTTTTGATTAAGTGAAATCCAGGAGGACCATAAAGGGGGACAAACGCAGAGAAAAGAGAAACAAATTCGGGAGCATGAAGTTTGTCGCACCATGACTTCTCCTGTCTGCTGTTCTCTCAGAACGAAGCTGAGGACGTCGAGGTTGGGTCCAGCCACCAGACGGAGGAACAGCGGCTTCTCGCCATCCGCCAGCTTGCACACATACACTGCAAAACACAGAGACTGTTCAAGTCGGCAGACATCCATACAGGTGCTTCTATGCGCTCTGTATGCACTGATGGGCGTGGCCTATTAACAACTAGACACTGGAGTTAAACTTTAACATAGAACAGAAAGCACCTGTTAAAACCTACTATAAAAAATATACCTTAATTTTTTAGGTCAGCAAATCTGAACAAAAATTTTCCTTTTTAAAGGTCAGATAAGATATAATGAACTATATTTTCCTTTAAATCATAAAAAAATAATTATTTGAACTTTATTATTGTTTATAAAGGTAAATAAGGTTTAGGCCCCGTCCACACAAAGTCAAACCCTGGCCTAAACGCACAAATTTTTCACCAAACCAGCCTCTCATGCATACGAAGCCGGCGTTTCAGGGTCTGTAAACGATCTTTTTTTTATTAAGCCCTTAGAGTGGGAAGATTTTGAAACGCCGTTTTTGTGTTGCCATCTTTAAGCTCTAGCCGCATTTTTTTTCTTACACGCATGCGCGACACAGTATCACAACAACAATGGCGCCGTACTGTGTTAAATGGTTGCTGCTCATGCTACTCACCCTGCTGTCGGGCTTACAACAGAATCTTCTTCTTCTGGAATATCTCCAGAAAGAAGAGAGCAATATAGACGACATAGTTCAGCACCTGAATTTGACTGAACCACGAAAATGGACCCGCAGGGCCATTTTCCGGTTTTCCGGTTTGGTTGTTGTATAAATATTACTGCGCATGCCCAACATTTCGTTGCCTGTTTTCGCATATTTTTGCTTTGGCACCACAGCGCCACTTACAGGCCTAGCATACATTTTGCAGCGATTTCATGCATTCGTGTGGTCGATCACATTTATTTTACGTCTCCGTCTTTACGACAAACGTTCTGGAAAATATTAGCGTTTCGTGTTCGTTTTGACTTTGTGTGGGCCTTAAACAAGCTGGGAAATCCCTGAGGTGATGTCATCTCACTTCATTGGAGGCAGACCTTAGGTTGCATTTAAAAGCAACACCTGAAAACCACTGCCTATTTGTGCGACTTTTATGAAAACATCAACACAAATAAGCAGCATTGCGCCGATGCCATCTTTTGGCCCTGATACCTGGCGGTGCAGTATTAGCCGATACCCATACCATCTGTTTGAATTTGATGTGTGTATATATGAAGAACTGCATACCAGTGTTGTGGTCAAGACCACCTAACCAGAGACCAAGATAAGACCAAGACTGAGGGAATTCGAGACCGAGTCAAGACCAAGACCAGCACCAGTATGTGACAATAAAATAGAAACATGATCAAAATCACTCAAATTGATCTAAAAGACCCACATTCACATAAAAACACCTAGATATTTAACACACAGAACTGGAATAAACATAAACACCTTTTAAGTAATAAGTTGGACGTAGTCCCTACCGTCTCTGATAGTGAAGCACTGCAGAACTTACATTGCGCTGTATGCTTTTTTCTCAATGTTGCTTTACCAATATATTCTTTGTGATTTAAATGGCCGAATTTTATAACTGATGATTTGGCCAACATGTTATCCCGTTCTCAGACAACCACTTGTGACTTTCAATCTGTGCTGCAGCCCGCGCGCAGGTGAAAGGGGGTGGGCGTGACAGCAGTAAAACCAAAAAAAAGCAAACAAAAAAAAAACATGCATTTACCAATGAGACAGGTTATTGCTTGGATTTGAATCCAAGCATCCAATAAAAAGAAGGATCTTAAAGAAACTGATAATATTCTGATGATTAGCGTTATTTCCACAGTTGTGGTCTTGACCGGTCTTGAAATAAAAAGGCAGAGTCCTCAGCGGCAGAGACCGAGACAAGACCGAGACCAAATGCGGTCAAGTCCGAGACGAGACAATCAAAAAATGGTCTGGAGACCAAGACTACTACAACACTGCTGCATACTATTTGGACGTAAAATCATTGCCATCATGGCGTCGTCAAGCTGCTGCCTGCCTTTGTAAAGCAGGAAGACTTTACAAAGAGCATATAGAAAGTAATATAGACTAATAGAAAGTAAATCCAGTAGAACTTTTTATTGCCTACCTGGAATGGGTGACAATAGTTAAACCTATTTGCCCTATTTGTTGATACCGATACCACCATTTTAGTGCAGGATCGAGATAAGATAACATTTCAGATATTAATCATGGACTGCCGTATGCCTTGTGTGTGAGTACGATTTCCATGAAGGTAAAATGTATGTAATGGAGGAACAGGCCATGGTTTTAGCAAACTAATATCACAGATACCCAAAATGGATTTTAAAGTTTGAATTCAATTAGTTTTCTTAAAATTATCTAATTTTATTCAAGCATTTAGCACAAATTATTTATTTTATGTGAGCCAGGAAAAGTGAAACTTTATTTATATATCAGAAAGTGAGGTGGCTTCTTCATACACTAAAGGCCCAAACACTAGCAACTAATCTATAAAAGTTTAAATATTTATTCCTTGTGTCGCCCTTTAAACATTGCTTCATGTTGTGACCACAACTCAATTAAAATATTCTAGACTTTTCTCATAAAAGCCAAATAAAAGCCGTTAAATTTTACATACATCTGCCCGTCTAGACAGTCTTTAATTAGGAGACAGCGTCATTCTCGTAATAAACGTAAACACAACCAGAAGGGGAAAGAGAACTCTACAAATGCCTGGAAATAAATAAAAATAAATGAAATAAATAGTTTTTCCAAATTCTGATAAAGTGTCATGTCGGTCTGAGGTGTTAACTAGACGATCAGTGAAATCCAGCACCGTGTGTGTATTTATATGCAGCCTGTGTGTATTCCTGGGTATCCCTGCTGTGTCGTCATTGTTGGGTGAACCCTGTGGTATTCAACGAGAGGGCGAGGCCTCGACACATGCGCTGCATCACAGCCCAAACATCTGATACTGCCACTGGCACGATCGGCACGAAGCTGCTTCTGCATCGCAGTCGTTTTCACCTTCTCCCTCTCTCACACAGAAACATTTAGGGGAAGACTCACCCTGCTCTTCCCTGCGGTAACGTTTGTACAGCGCATACTTGGCAGGGTTGTCAGCGACCGTGAACTTATTCAGCAGCGCCATGATCACCTGGACACAAAACGACAGAAACTCAGACACTCCTGAACGCTCAGAGCAACACATTTCGGGTCGTGCGTTTCCCACCTGTTTGACGGTGTTTTCAGAGCTGATGTGGAGCGTGTTGCTGACTTCCTGCGGCAGATAAAAGGCCTCCTGCATCACGGCTTCTCCTCCAGCTCCTGTCTGACCTCCGCGCACCGTCACCGGCCTTCTTAGATCCAACACAACCTTGATGAAACCCGTGTAGACACCAGTAGGGTTCTAAAAGACAAACGTCACGCTCTGTTACGATTCACTGCAGCTGCTGACCTCATAAGCCATAACCAGACATGATAGCAAGACAAAACAAGGAATTAGAGAAGTAAAAAAAAAAGGACTAAAGACAAAATAAACCAAGGTGTGGCAGCTTAAATGTGGATTTTATCTGCTCTGATGTAAGTAAATATTCTGTGAACAGAGTGAAAAAGAATCCTGTCTGAATTTTTCAACTTTTAGGAACAAAGAAGCTATGAGGATCTGCAGGTTTTATTTTTAAGTTAGAAAAGAAGAAAAATAAAACAAAATAAAAGGTTAATCAATGAAAATGAAGGGCTTATTAAGACTAGAGATGATTTTATTCTTTTAGTCCAAGAGAATCCAAATACTTCTTTATTGAGAGCTGAGGCACAACTTGTAAAGTTTAGTAAAATGTGTCAGGCTTTTTCATTTTCCAACACCATTTCAGCTTCAAACACAGACCTCAGTGCCAAGGGAAACACTGTGGGGGAGAACAATAGCAGGAATAACATCACATCAGTCTGATGTGAGCGCTCGGGAATGCTGAGAGCAGGAGGGAACCGGTCTTAATGTTGAAACAGCCACAGCGACCTGAGCGTAGAGTGGGAACTACTTCTACCTTCTGCACAGAACCAATCAAAAGCAATGAGTTTAGCAGGTTATGGCAGATCAACCTTATAGAGATTTATTTTTACATTTAATGTGGTTGTCTGGAGTAGCTCTAGGTAATCTGTGTCTTACCTGATTACAGTTAGGAAAATCAGGCAGAAATCAGGATTCAGCCAAAAGACCACAGACTCAATAAATACACCTACGAGCAGCTTCACTTTATACACATGCTAATAAAACACTCCTTAAGCGCATTTTTAACATGTTACATGTGCAAATTTAGTATTTTTGTCTCTTAAAGGCATCTGCTCTCCTTGATGAACTTAAACTGGTTCAACTTAGGCAGATTAGGAGCAGTAAATATTCATGGAGAATCTTCCAACCCTTGCAGCTTCAACAGAGAAACTAGAAGTCAGGTGCTACTAGTTATATCTCCCAATTTATCTGCTCATCATTAAGTTACGGTCAGGGAATAAGGGAATCGAAAACCGGTTCCTGTTTAGAATCGGTTCCGTGTGTTCCAATTCCATGGCACCGTTTGGCAGCTCGCTTAACGATTCTCTTAATGATTCCATGCAAACAACATGGCATACATTTTAATGAATGCTGTGTTTTTGATGCTTCCAGACAGAAGCTAAAGTTACGACCAGCATGGAAGGCAACTCTGCTAGTTTTATATCAGTGGCTGTGCTTAATTAGCCTCGTGAGACCATCCTGATCTCACGAGCTTCAAGATTTCACTCGCTAATCAGTCTGGAGACTCTCCGTTAAAGAAAATTTGGAGCCGTTCACCAAACGAACGTCCAATCAGCGTTGGCTTTGAGGCGGGTTGAGGTGTGACGCAACAAGAAGCGCAACAGTTCAGTCTAAAGAACATGGCGGCTTCAGCCGATGAAACTAGCGTTAGCGTGGCTATCGAGCAAGTTTTATCGGAATTACAGAGTATTTCTTCACTGAAAGAAGAGCAAAACACTGCTCTGGAGGCTTTTCTCAGAGGAAAAGATGTTTTTGCTCTTCTCCCGGCTGGTTTCGGCAAGAGTAGCCTGGCTTGTGGTTGTGTTTTCGTCGTCGCTCTGTTAGTACGTCATATGCTTCGTTGATCTGATTGGTTTATTTGGCCCTTCTATCACCAACATAGGCCAATCAGCTAACCAGTATTTTCGCCCCTTCCCAAAATTACTTCAACAGAAGGTTTCCAGATGGATATGCGGAGCAAATCCATCTGGCGGAGTGGTTCCTAGTAAATCATATGTCATTACTGGAAAGGAACCAATTTGCTACCTCTCTTTTGGGTTATTAAACAGAGAAAGGTGACGCTCGTTTATTTAAATCAGGAGGAGATGAGATTATTTCCCGAAGTTGTACAGTAATTCTTTTTCATTAAACGGATGCCTACTCCATTAGATTTAGATGACTGTGACAAGACTGGTAGCCTGGCTGGCTCAGAGGCAGGCAGAAATAGAATGTCCCAGGCGAAGGTAGACGAATGTCACCGTGCACTTACCAAGTTAATTGTTTCACAGAATCGATAAGAGAATCGGAATCGTGAAAATCGTATCAATTCCCAACCTTAATCCTGTGAGTATCTGTTGTTTGAACATATGGTGTCAGGAGTGCTTGTACCTTCTCTTTTCTTCCAAAGAGCAACTTTAACTCTTCTAACAACATCAAGTTCAGGGAGGCATTGTAAGAAATAAATTCTATTATTTAAATATAAAGGCTATTCAGTCAATGTGACATCATTCTTCATGCATTGATGTTTAGCGTCATGTGATCCTGCATCAACTCACCAGAGTCATTTTAAGGTAGTCTTTGGTCATGGAGTTGTAATGCTCGATCCTCTGCTGGATTTCCTCCCTGCTGAGCTCCGTTCTCCCCCATCGCTCCTTCTCCACATCCTTCCATAAAGAGGTGGGGAAAAAACGGAAACATTAGACGTTAAGTGAAGGAAAGCAACAAAGTATTTATTTGGACAACGGCATTAGAGCGCATGTACATCAACAGTATCCAAGAATAAAGAGTTTTTACATTCAGATCAGAGGTTCAACACCCAATACCACTCCAAAAAAAAAAGTTAGTTTGACTGTGAGTTGAGTTATTTCTGCATTAGACAGAGCTCTGAGGAAACATGTGAAAAGCATCCCTGCTTCAGGGTCAGCCCATGACAATCCTCTCCTTTTTAATCCACCAGAGTCTCATGCTAAGAGACTGACTGCTTATTTTAGCAGCTTCAAAGGAATGTAATTGGAAATACAGGTCTAAAAAGTTTCTTCAGTTGGACTAAAACCTGCAACACAAACATGAGACCAAAAACACAGAACACAATAACTGAGGGCCCATTTAGCAGGCAAGTGTTTGTATCAGTTGTAAATAGGCAGCTCGCTGACCTCAGAGGCAAATAAATGTTTTATTATGCAGTCAACATGACTCCATGAAGCTCAAGGACTCAAACACACACATTCACATCTTGCTATATGTTGAGAGGACTGTGTGTTGAGTCCCATTAATTTTCAGTCATTCTTGACTCTCTCCGCGCCATAACCCTGACAATATACTAAAACCTAAACGTCTTAGTGCTAAACCTAAACGTTAGTATTAAGAACCAGTAAAATGATTTTCACTTTAGTACAAAATGCCCTCAAACTGATGCTGAATTTGTTAAAATGATCCTCACTCTGATGCTAAAAAAGAAAATAACACACAACATCTAAAGATTCAACATCAACATATGAAAAAATGAGCTTGGTGAAAATAAATTACATGATGCAGAATCATTTACAAAGTTTACACAGCAATAAATATGTTGTTGAAAATATCCATAGACGAGGTAAATGTTTTGTGCTGGATAATAAATGAAGAGAGAAATGTAAGTTGTCTTTTAGTAAATAAAGGTTTTTGTCAAACTGCAGCCCTTCTTTTTAGCTTTTAGGCCTAAAACTAAAAAGGGACTCATTTTTTAAATTCAATAAAACTGTCACTTACATTTAAACCCCAGTGCAAACTCTTTATTCCTCCCTGATGTATCCTGTGCTTACATGGGCATAGCGCTCTGCATCTATTAAAAACCACGCAGTGCAGAATCCAGTGCAGCCCCGAAGCACGAGCACCCTTATATGGATAACACACACAATGTAGCTGGAATAACATGAGGTGCCAATGCAACAAGTGCAGACGGGGGAAGTTGAAGGTTTGCTTACGGTTTTGGGAAACAATATGGATGCCAGTTTCTGCAGCGGCATTCCATCAAAACAACAAAGTGGCGTTCACACGGAAATGTTTTCCTCATTATCCGATCTTAAAGGCATGGCATCAATAGAGACTAATATGGCTTTGGTTGCATCCTCTGTTTATACGACCTGGAGAGGCTTTTTACTACACGTCTGTTAGCAAACATTTGATCAAACCCTGGTAAAAAAGTAAATTCAATCTATAAAGTAATAAAAAAAATCTATGACCAAACCATAATTTTATATATTTACAGATGAAATAAAATAAATGATGCAAAAAAAGACAACCACCTATTTTTTTCCTAAAATGGCAATATTAAGTCCAGATTACAAAAATTATTGGTACTTTTAAAAGCAAACCATAGTAATAATCAAAGTATTCTGCACATAAATATCTTGAAAACAATTTAAGTTGTATTGGGATTGGTAATAAATAAATAAATCACTATTATTGCTTTGTTATATGCTTTAAATAAAAAAGTTATAAACATAATAACATTAAGCAGAGGGAATGCACATTTCTTGTCTGCTGTCATTGTAAAGCAATTAGGGCTGAAACTGACAATTATTTTGCAAATAGATTTTTTTATTTTTAATTAATCGATTAATTATCTGATAACCAAAGGCTCCTTAAAGAATATTCTTTACTAAATTAAACCAGCTGAATCTTAAACGTTTCCACTTGAGGAGTTCTGGATTGAACATATTGATATACGAAAATGTTTTTTTTTTATCTTTTTTTAAAATCTTTTTTTATATTGTTTTACAATTTTGGTATGATTGCTGCTTTAAGATGGTCGCTTTGTCAGCTAAAGGCATCTTTTACAGTCTCTACACTCCATTTAACAATTAATCTATTACTAAATTAGTTGACGATTATTTCAATAATCAATTAATCAATATATGTCCAATTGTTTTATTCAGCCCTAAAAGCAATATAATAATTTTTACACATTTATTTTTTAAATTCTTATGCAGATGCCAGATTTTATCATCCTATCTCATATACCTTGGAGCTCCTGACAAATAACCACGTGTAAAAGCAGCTGAATAACTGTCGCAGCTCCTCCAGCCCTCGCTGACCTCCCATACGGCAAGAAGACGCTGACTCAGCAGGATTACCGAAGGGACACAAACATGAAGGCATCAGCGCTCAGACCTGATCCATCAGGTGTTTAACAATAGAATCTGCTTCCTAGATTTCATCTTTCTGGTAAAACTGTCTATTTTTTTTCTCCTTCGCGGTTTAATCTCACCTTTATAAGCGGCTTTCTGCTCTAAGGGGACAAATCTCTTCACCAGGAAGTGGCAGTTAGAGGAGATTATGGATCCTCGTGAGGAAAGGGGAAGTCCAACTAGCAGCTAAGGAGTGGTCCTTTATCAGAGCATCTTACAGTAGGAATAAGAGCAGCTTTGAGAAGCTTCATCCTTTAGATTTTCAAATAATATAAAAAAAAGTCATCTACTTGGTAACTAGTCTGTCAATCCGTGATCAGATCAGTCGCCGTTTAAGTCCAACTGTTTTACGTAACTCTTCACATCACATTAAACGCATCAACCTCATAGAGAAACCTGGCGGTGGCAGCATCATGTTCAGGGAATATTTTTATTCATCCAGGATGGAAAAGATATTCACCCTGAAGTGAGACAGAATGACCCAACCAAGTCCAGGCATGAGTCAATTTAAGGATTTGAAAACTGATGTGTAAAGACGCTCTTAATCCAATCTGACTGAGCTTAAGCCGCTATACACAGAAGATTGTGTAACAGGAGAGTACTGATTCAAGGTGGAAAAAGAACAGTATGCTTCCCTTTCCCTCAGGTTATCTATGGAAATATGTGCAAATTATACAACGTTTTGATTGAGTCTTGGTATAATGTACTACTTTGTGTTGGCATCATTACATAAAATCCCCGATACAAACACAGTGAAGGTTGTGAGGGTGTAGTAATACATTTAAAAAGACTCCAGAGGTGCAAATACCTCTGTAATGTACAGCATGGTTTGTAAGGCTGTTGGCTCAGAGCAGACGGGGTTAAAGGGAACTGGGAGGATGAGAGAGACCGGATTTAAACAAACAGGACAGGAGAGGAGCTGCGGCACAATGAGATCATGGTCCTTTTAAGGAACAAAGCGAATCCTCCCACTGAAGGCAAAAGATCAACACTGAACCAGCAGCAGAAAGGAACTACATTATAATCATCTAAAAAGGCCTCTTTCCACTTGACTTTAGCTTGATTAAAGGTTACATGTGCTGCATGTATCATGAACACATTTAGCTCTTTAGTGACTGCATCAAGCTCCTTAAACACTGCAGTCCCAGATCTAGAGTGACTAGATGTAGATTCATTCACTTGTTGTATAAAAAAAGCAGAACTCTGGGAGACAGAAAAAGGAGAACAGAAAGCGACAGAGTCTCTGCTTCCTTTCGCCACCATAGTTTGGTCTAAAAGAGACAACACTTTCTTTCTTTAGCCTTTTATCTCACACACACCTGCTGCATTCCTGTCTTTGTTTACAACGGTCACGCTCGTCTGATATCCTCCCCCAGTCTGTAAATATGTGACATCACTGCAGGGAAGTCTGTGCTTGATTCTTCACTGGGAGACAGCTACACCTTAACAGCTTCAGACTGGGGCAAATAAACACGTTTTTAAAAGGTTCTGAGAAATTTGGTTTACTTTATCTGGTGAGTTTTTTTAATGGCTTTTATTAGGCCTTTATTAAGGATGCAGAGGAAGGAATATCCTTAGCAATATTTGCAAAAATGAAGTTATTTGGCAGAAAAATCTAAAAATGGGGAAGCACAGTTGATGAAAACATGCATGCAACATTTTCTGCTGAATATGTTATAATCACTGCCTCTTAACTCTTTTCCTTGCATCCCTTTAATAAAGTTTCCAAATCTGTGTTACAGAGAATTTACCTGTACGGCACAAAAAAGAGAAACAAATTTAAAACAACACTATCGCACAAAATATTGCATCCAAGCAATCCTTCGCACCAGAAATACTACAAACATATTAATCTGATTTAATATCTTAAAGCAGCTCTAACAAACATCAACCCATGGAGACTATTTTTGATTCAGGGAATAAGTAATAATCTGCATTTTGAGGTATTTTTATTTTTTTTTTACTGTATTTGTAAATTAAAACCAAAGGAATGTGCAAATATTCATTTTGCAACAAAACAAACAGCAATTTAACATTTAAATCAGCATTGGAAATCAGACAGCTATAAATAAAGGTATTCATTGATTAAAAAAGGGAATAAAATAATTTTTTGATCTAGATTGCTTTACTAATAATCCTCATTATGATCTTTTTTTCTCCTCCTTCTAACCCTCCTGGATTTCAGCCCATTTCTCTGCATGCAACTTCCTGTTGAATCCAAAGGGGTGAGTCTACTCAAGCCACACCTTTCCTCTCAGCATTCCTGTACTGATGGGGCCACACGGCCTCATGAAAAATCAAAACAATGTGCTTTAAAGTGCTATCACCTTTCCTCTGTTACAGAGAGAAATAGACACTTGAAAAACTTCTTAAATGAGCTGCTTATGGGCTTCAAGGACACTCGTAAATCCTAGTTACATCTTTGAGCCACAGATGCAACTTACAGTAAATGCTGCTTTACTTTCAGTAAAATGGCATTCAATGATAAATCAATT